TCCTTGAGGAAATAGCTGAAAAGGGATAATATAAGGATAATTCAAAAAGTTCATGGACAGATTTGTCTTATCCTTTAATTCTGTTTTTCTGTGAACTTTCTGTAGTACCCTTCATACAAGATATGCCTGGAACATCTTGTAGTGCCGGAAAGCATGGAAGTGTTTTAAAAGCAAATAGATGGGGGCACATTAAAAAGATAGAGAAGCCAACCTGGAAATTCCCAATGGCCAAAGCTGGAACAATTTGAGCAACAAAATAACAGTATTGGTATATGTTTCAGCCCATTCAGGCTGCTATAACGAAATATGATAGACTGGATGGTTTATAAACAACAAATCTATTTCTCACAGTTCTGGAGGCTGGGAAGTCAAAGGTCAGGGCAGATTCAATGTCTGATAAGGGCCTGCTTTCTGGTTTATAAATAGTACCTTCTTGCTCAGTTCTCACATGGTGGAACAGGCTATCTAGCTCTCTGCGGTCTCCTATTTTACAATGGCACTAGAACTAACCACCTCCCAAATGCCCCACCTCCTAATACCATCACCTTGGGGGTTAGGATTTTGACATATGAATTTGAGGGGGATCCCAAACAGGCTATAGCAGTATGTAATCCATGGTATAAACTAGACATATGTGATGTCATAATAGTATAAGTAAATAATGGAATGAATCAATAAATAATTGGAAAAGAGAAAAATCTTACTTACAAAAGGATTCTAAGTAATAGTATAGATACCACTTCACAAGAAGTGGAGCTTCATTCCCTTCCTGAGTGACTGGCTTCCAAAGAATAGATTGTGGAAGGCAAAAAACTGGTAACTACAGTAGGAGACTCTAGTTTAACCAGGTGATCAAGGTTAACGTAAACAGTGATACATCATGTTGATACCATGTACCCCCTTACATGTGATGAGAATATAAGATATACTTCCCCCAAACATAACCACAGTCTAATCATGAGAAAAACGTGCAAACCTAAATTGATGAATATTCTACAAAATATTTTCAAAACTGTCAATGTCATGAAAAGCATGGAAAGGCTGAAAATTCACAAATGGGAGGAGACATAACAACCAAATGTGTGTTGAATACTGGAACAACAACAGCAACAAAAATTAGTGGAAAAACTGCTGAAATCCAATTAAAGTCTGCAGTTTATTTAATAGTAATGTGCCAGTGTTAATATATTAGCTTTGACAAATGTACCATGGTTATGTCAAATGTTAACTTAGGTAGAAACGGAGTAAAGAGTATATAAGGAACTCTGTACACTCTTTGAATCTCTTATGTAAATCTAAAATTATTTCAGACTAATGGTTTTTAAAGCTAAACACTGTTATTGAAATATTGAAAGTAGTGATTAAAAATGTCTTCCAAACTAAAATAACATGGGTCAGTCCCCTTGGTTGGATGACTTGTCAATATTAGACTCTCAGAGCAGCTCCTGACTTTTATTCTTACATCCTCGCTTTCCTCAGGCTTCCCTTTTCACGCCACTGTTTGGGCTCACATTTCCTCTCAGATGATAATTTTCCGCCAGTGTTGAGCAGGGCTGCTCTCAGGAAAGCATCGATATGCTGTGCACTCCATACAGTGCACTTAGACCTGAGCTTCCTTTTTATACCAAACAAGAAAAGAGGAAGTTTTCCAAGGTTTTGTGCTCACAGCAGCTGCATTCCCTTTTATGACCTAGCCTGGGAAGTCGACAAACCTCATTTCATTTCCACTGCTGTCTTAGTTGAAACGGTCCAAAAATCAACCTAGTTTTAAAAGAAGGAACATAGACCCCATCTCTCTAAGGGACGAATATCAGAGTTTTAAGAAGAGCATGTGCCATGACCGATTGTCACATTTGTCTTTAGGAAAATACAAACTGCCACATCAGGACTCACCATTCATAAGGTAGTCTCAAGAGTCTCCTGCCAAAGTGTTTTCTCTTAAATGCAAATCTGGTAACTTTTCCAGCCAAAATTTTTGAGCAACCTCCCCATTGTCTTTTACGTAAAGTCAAACAATTCTGCCATCTCACCACCCCAGGCCATTTGCAGCTCTCAGAACATGCCTCCAGTCCTTCAAGTTGCCTCCTCTGGTAAGTGCAAGGCCTTTGGGAGGCCTTAGCTCAAGTGACACCTCCTCCTTGGGACCCTTCTTAATCTCTTACCACCTCCCCTTGATTATTGCTTCCTTTGGGTACCTGTCCAACAGCATCAGTTGTAGCGCTTGTATTACTTATTGCACCTTATCTCTTGACCAGGGAATAACAACTCGGGGATGGGAACCATGGTATATTCATTGCTTGGTTCATGGGAGGCCTCTATGGTTTATTGGATCACTATAAATGACCTTTACATCCTATCTCAGGGCTTTATAATTACAGTGTGATATTAAGCAAGGAGCCAGAGAATCTAATTCAGTTCCTAAAATATTATTAGGCACCTTTATAAATGCTAATTCTTTTGATTATCAATCACTGCCCTAAGAATCAAGTCATCCCTCTGACCACATAGAAACCCTCTGTTTCCTCACCCCAAAAGCCGTGGCAGGGGGATTCCCATAAGCATGTGCCCCAAACCATCCAGAGATGTGGCAGGTTGGGATTCCAAAGAAAGAAGCACTAAATGCCAGGGTGATCATCCCAGAGCATTTGTTAGGAGAGCTTAACATGCAGAGTGCTGCAGTGTATCCTGATAACAGACAGCAAGAGAAAGGGATGTTCTACCTGGGTATGTCCAGCAGAGAGAAGGTTGGGTTGTGGAGTTTAATATGAAAATGTAAGGAATCTGCCTCGGGGGCAGGGCCAGTTTCTTTCAGGGTTTTGAGCAACAACCTAGGAACCTTTCTCAGTGCCTGGAAATGATCAAGGCCTGGTTTTGTTTGAATCCTGCAGAGAGGAACCTGCAGCTGGATGGGTCACAGAGATGTCAAGGCACTCTGTGATTGTCTTTCAGAAAGAGAGCAGAGGAAACTGGGGGACCCTACACCCTCATGGTGTAAACTGCGTATTTGCTGTTCTCATTGATTTCACTTGGGTAACCCGATGTCAACTCAAAGACAGCATCTAACATCATTCTTTCTTTCTCCCCACCTTCCCCACCAAAAATAAAAAAGAAAAGGAAAAAGAAGAGAAAAAGGAGAATAGTAACCACCTTTCACTCCTCACTCTGCTAGTTCTCTCAAGTTATCTTTGATTCACTGAATTAGTCTTTTAGAGACTGAAGGAATCTCAGAGATCATCCAGGACAACACCCAGTTGTCTATATGGGGGAGGACACTGAGGCATAAAGAAGTTGTATGACTTGTCTGGGTCTCTCAGGTATTTACGATAAGGAATGGAAGTAGAACCAAGATGATTAAGTCTGGTACCCTCAATCCACTCACCCTTGGTTTTCAGTCCTGACAGTGCATTTGAATTACCTGTGCACTTCCTCACATTAGCATTTTACTAAGTGTGGAGTGAGACCCAGGGATGTGAATATTAAAAACTTTGGTTTGAAAACTGCAGATCTTAGAAGTCACAAAGCCCTGCTGATTTTCTACAGAATCTCAACCTCCCTCCCCAGTTTTCTGGCCCCATTTCCACCTCTGTAGCTAGAGCCCTGTCGCTCCAAGTGTAACAACCTGAACAGAACTGACTCCATGTTGTTGAACCTGTGAATTTAAAAATTTGTTTTCGTCTGTAACTCAAACCACATAGCCTGCAGCTAACCACCAGAACACAATGACTATTACTCTCTGTTCATTAATAGAGAATAATTATTCACCCAGATGGGGATTCTTCACTACCTTACTAACTTGATCTTATTTCAGAATAACAAGAATTGAACCCATGTAGAATGCAGTATGATTCCTGTCAGCTCTTACCCAGGAAGTTTCTTGATGATTATCTGAAACACCTCAAGCATGTCTACACGTCCTCTCTTGGTCTCCATGAGTCAATTTTCCACCATAAACCCCTGTAAAACACTTTGGCAAACCTAAGAGAGGCAGAGATGGTCTTTCAGACATAAGTCCACCATTTCCCGAGGCTGCCTCTGGATTAAAGGCTACCTTTCCTTAAATCAACACTTGTCTCTCAGTTACTGGCTATTAAGTAGCAAGCAAACGGACCTTTGGGGTCTTGATAACACAACCCCAGCTTCTACACTTCCAGCTTTCCTCCTGTAGTACAACATTGCCAGATGGATTTTACTAAACCACTTTTACTGTCATGGCACTCTCCTGTTTCAAAATCTTCAATGGCTTAACCCAAAGATTCTCAACTCCTAGAGCATGGAAGACTTAACTGAGCTCTTGTCTTGAAAGCTAATTCCTGGGCCCACTGTTAGGAATTCAGACTTACTTAGCAGAGTTGGGGCAAATCCTGGGAATCTGCATATTTCACAGGCATAGAACAGTGGAGAGCGAATTGATTCTCATCCAGATGTTCCAAAAACGACACCATGAGAAACACTGCTCCAGAACATTAATGGTAATCCTCTCACCAGGCATTCAAAGCCATCTACCATCAGCCCATCCTCTTCGACCTTGTTGTTCACTTCTTCCCAGCTCCTTGCTATGCTCCCAATAAGGCGTGTTCGGTCTCAACCCTAATTCTCTTTCTTTACTCATGTTGCTTACTCCCTTTCCCTAGAATTCTCTACTTCTTTACCACCCCCAACACATTCCTTCCTATATCAATACTATTCATCCTTCAGGACCCAGTTCAAAGTCTACTTTTCCCATTAAAATGGCCCAACTCCTGTTTCCCTTACTGATTTTTCATTTCTCTTGCTTCACATATCTATAATGGTGAGTGTCACATAATGAAGCAGTTTTATACAGAGACTTCTGAGTGAGACCCACCTTAATTGTGTAAGCTCTTAAGTAACAAGTCTATATCATACATTTTTCAGTATCATCAAACAGCTAGCTTCAAAGTAACAAAATAGCTGCTTAATTAATTGGATTGAATAACTCTGTTTAAATCTAAGTTGTATTTATTTGTCTTTTCCTTTTACAGTCAAAGTGAAGTAGAATGTCTCATGAGACTTTTCCGCAGCTTGGTGGGAAGGATCACTAAAACATTTGGTAACATTGGCCTAGATTGTAACATGTTTCTTTTTTTTCTTTTTTTCTTTTTTTTTTTTGTCCTTTTTGTGACCGTCCGCACCACGCTCAGCCAGTGAGTGCATCGCACTGGCCATCCCTATATAGGATCCGAACCCGCAGCGGGAGCGCTGCTGCGCTCCCAGTGCCGCACTCTCCTGAGTGCGCCATGGGCTCGGCCCAATTGTAACATGTTTCGAGGGATCCTGCACAACATATTTGGAATGACTGATGATATACTGATGGGTAGGGGTAAGAAGTCCTAAGAAACTAAAAATGGGCCAATCAGGTGGCAAATATGAGGGTACTTCAAAAAATTTATGGGAAAATAGAATTAAAAGATAATACAAATCTTTCCATGAACTCATATATATATTATGCATTCAGTTTTGTCAAACACTGAATTTTTCCAGTGCCAAAGAGGAAAGGCATAATTCTGGTAATGTAGTGCTTCAGAAAATAATTGGTTTGATTGTGAGGATGTTTTCTCATACAAACTCACTTAGAATTTCATATCTCCTGTGAATAGCTGTACAGCCTTGAGAATTAACCAGTAACAAACTAAATATGCTAGTAGTTTTGGTTTTTAAAAGATAAGCAGCTTTTAATTATGATGTCTTCAGATTCACATGCTGCAGACATGTAATCTACTAAATGACTTCATTTTCCTCCTAAAAATGAAGAATGTATCAGTGTAAAAAATGATAATGACTCATATGGGAAAAATCAAAGAAAAGATAGTACATTTATTTATTGTATTTTAATTTTTTTGGTGGCTGGCATATATGGGGATCTGAAACCTTGACCTTGGTGTTATAACACCACTCTCTCACCAACTGAGCTAACCAGCCAGCAAGATCATACATTTAAAATAGGAAATTATTTCATGTGATCCAGTTAGTATCAGTAAGAGACTTTTTAAAGTGTACAATTTGGTAATTTTGACACATGTGAACACCAGTAAAGCCATCACCACTTGAAAATAATTCATCATTTCCAACAAGTAAATAATTTTTTAACTTATTTTATATAGGATAATACTAAGTTTTCACTGGTAATCTAAAAACTAATGAAGTAGGGCCGGCCCAGTGGCGCACTGGATAGTGCGCCGCTTGGGAAGCACGGCAGCGCTCCCGCCCAAGGGTTCGGATCCCACATACAGACCGGTTCCCGCTCACTGGCTGAGCGAGGTGCGGGAGCAACACCGAGGGTTGCAATCCCGTTGCCGGTCCCCGGTCCGGTGCGGGGGCAACACTGAGGGTTGCGATCCGTTGTCAGACACGGAAAAAGACAAAAAAGACAAAAAAAATAAAAATAAAAATAAAAAATAAAAACTAATGAAGTATTTTAAGTAGTTTACCTTTAAGGTATTCTGCAAACTCCTTAGAACAGAATTTTGGCCACTTTTTATAGTAAAAATGGTCACATTGGTTAGCTTCACTGTTTGTCTTCTTGGCTCATAGTAACTGTACAAGGTAACATCAGAAATGAAGGGCCGAGCCTGTGGCGCACTCGGGAGAGTGCAGCGCTGGGAGCACAGCAGCTCTCCTGCTGTGGGTTCGGATCCTATATAGGGATGACCGGTGCGCTCACAGTGCTCACTGGCTGAGCGCAGTGCGGCCAGTCTCAAAAAGGACAAAAAAAAAAAAAAGAAAGAAATGAAGCTCATCATTGACCATGGAAGAGAATGTCTCTTTTCTTTCTTTAAAAATATGGGGGGAAACACATTTCTAGGAATTTTGATTCTTTCAAGAAGACGTTGCCAAACCATTTTTCCCCCTCAATTTGGGAGAAATGTTTTTATCAGCACCACAGTCTACCGAGTGAGCAACGGGCCGGCTGGGAGAAAAGTTTTTAAATCTATTCATACATACCTAGTGTTGAATTCTTTTTTTTTTAAAGATGACCAGTAACGGGATCTTAACCCTTGACTTGATGTTGTCAGCACCATGCTCTCCCAAGTGAGCTAACCAGCCATCCCTATATAGGGATCCAAACCTGTGGCCTTGATGTTATCAGCATTACACTCTCCCAAGTGAGCTAACCAGCCATCCCTATATAGGGATCCAAACCTGTGGCCTTGATGTTATCAGCATTACACTCTCCCAAGTGAGCCACGGGCTGGCCCTCCTACTGTTGAATTCTAAAATAGCTCTAGATTATAATACACTTACACATCTTTTTCTTTCAGTGTTCTTTGCATTTGATGAAGACAATGATAACTCCATAAATGTTAAAGAGTGGGTTAAAGGGTTATCAGTGTTTCTTTGAGGGACTTTTGAAAAAAAGCTGACATGTAAGATTTCTATATGTGATTACTGGTTTAGTAATATATATTGTCAATTTTGTATTTAGTGAATGCTTAAATATTTGAAAATATAAAATTGGTGTTCACTATAGCAACCTTGTAAAAATAATTTGTGACGGATTTGAAAAACAACAACAGATGAAATGGGGGGGGCCCAGTTTTAACATCAGCGCAGAGTCCCCAGTCCCAGGGTCCCCAAATCCGTCCTTCACTGGTTCTCTATGTGCAAATGCCACCAAGATGGGTTTTTGGCTTTCGGCCCAGGCTAGGAGCAGCAGCCAATGGTCATCTCTGATCAACCAGCAGACCGAGGATTCCAAGGCTGCCACTGGACTCAGCAGAAAATGGGCTTTGATAGGGGGCAGTGCATGTGTTTTGTTGGGTCACTCCTTGTCTTTTCATCCAAGAAGACATGAAGCGTCGACACAAGATGAGATAAAACTCACATTAACCACCGGACATGAATCCTCAAGTGTTAGAGCTGGTGTAGATGATTGAGAGGGAAGAGGGAAGTGAGGAGAAGGAAGAAGGTTGAAGACAGTGTAAGCCCAAAAGGAGCAGGATTATAAATGGAGCTTCCCATAGAAAAAGAACTTCAGGAATTTCAAAGACAAGACTCTCCCAGTTCACAGTTTTGTCTAGGGATAACTGGCCTGTGCCATGGAGGTTCATTTCCTATGTTTTACACCACTGGTGTCAGGATTTGGGGGGAGGAGCCCAAGAGAATAGTGATTCTAAATGGCTATTTTTAAGGGAACAAATTGCTTAAAGTGTGTAATTATTTAAGAAAAGATTGCAGAATTCTGTGTAAGTGAGCAAATTTTTATCCATTTTGTTCTTCAACTTTAATTTGGATTGGGGACATTAAAAAGAATGCTAAATTAAAGACATTTTTTAAAAATGATAGCATTTTTTTAAATTACTAAATTTCTCTCACATTTCTAATTTTTTTCTGTTTTGTATTTTTTTATTACTTTTTTCCTCCAGTTTAATTTTTCATGAATAACAGTTGAGTATAGTTTTCCCCTTAAGTTTGCCACTGTACTCTGAGAAGTGAAAAGCTGAGTTTCATGGCTGTAAATTCCTGTGGTAATACTAATACTGGGTGGAAATGGTTTTGACACTGAATTTAGCTTTACCTGGTTGAATAGCATCACACTATCAAAAACATTTTCCCTCCTCTAATTCCACTTCCTAAAAATGTTTCATATACATCTAAAGATATGTTAACTTGAGGAACATAGTGCTTTCTAGTTGCAAACTTATATTGTGCTATAGATCGGATAAATTCTACAGAGAGGCACAGTTAATCTTATACTCCAGAGTTTTACTTCTGGTTCTACTGCTTTTGCTACAGTATTAACTCTAGAGTATAAAGTCCATGAGAGCTCTTTCAATGCTTTCTTCCCAGGACGTGAGTTAGGGTCATCGATGGGATGAAGGGAGAACTCGAGCTTACACAGTCGATGTAAGCCATGGAAGTGGCTATCCAGGGAGAGATCATTTGATAATTTTGAATAGTTCAGATGGGCAAGACCCAAGGATATGACTGACTCACTCTGCAAATGCATTGAAAAATGTTCTTTGTCTTGGTATAGTGAGATGAGTACTTCGTTTTTTTACTCTATGTAAAGAGAAAATCATAATATTAGTATAGATATATTGGTATACATCCATATATGTGTATGTGTATATATGTATTATAGTATTAAAAGTTTAAAAAATTTATCTCCTTTATTATTTTTTAAGCCCTCAGTGTCAAAATCCAGAAATTATAAAACTTTGTTTTCACATCCCAGGGGTATTAATCTTGTGGAAAGAAATGTAATAAAGAGTTCTTAATTCTAAAATCTCTGTACCATATAGTAGATTAGATCAGTTAATTGTATGGTATATAAATTGTTTTTATCCTTTATTATCATATACTGAAATAACTAAGGAGAAGTCTAATGACATTTTAAAAAAAATTTTAACTTCTCAATATACATTGTAGTTGATTTTCGTGTCCCTTTACCTGTTCCTCTTTCCCCCTTCTTCTCTCTCCCCTCCCACCCCACTACATCGTACCTGTTCACTTGTCTTAACAAGTTCAAGGAATTGTTGTGATTGCTGTATCTTCTTCCCCCCGTCCCACACTTTATTTGTATATTCATTTTTTTATTTACTTATGACATTTTAACTTCTTATCCACGTCTTTAAACTTCTTGCATTTTAAAAGGTCTGTTTTGAAGTTTATTATTTGAATGGAGATGGTTACATTCCTCGAGAGGAAATATTTAACATGTTGAAGAACAGTCTACACCAACAATCATCTGAAGAAGAGACTGAGGAAGGAATAAGAGGGTTGGTAGATATAACACTGACAAAAATGGTAAGAGTGAAAAACTGCAATGCACTATATTCCAGCAAGTGGACGTTGGAAAAAGCTGAAGATAAGAAATGATTTTCCTTCATAATGAATGTAACCTCTATAAGGGCAGTTTTTGTTTGTTCCCTGCTCTATCCATTGCCTAGAACACTGCCTGACTAAGAGCGGGCGCACCATGAATATTTATGGAATGACTCGGTGATTAAATAAATCGCTATACAAAATGAATGTTCATTTTATTATTTTAAAATATCCTACCATCAGTAAAACCTCATTCATTTGGGGGAGGCCAGACTTGATTAGTGTAGAATTGGATGCTACTCTATTTTGTCTTCATGATCTCCCCCTCCAATCAATCTAAACACTTACTATAACAAAATAACATAATAATTAAACTATTTGATCCTGATAGAATGCCTACTACATGCCAGGCCCTTCAGAGAGCTTTTATTTGTGAACTCATTTTATCCACAAAACAACACTATGAAGTAGGAACTATTATCTCCATTTTCCAGATGAGAAAACTGAAGTACAGAAAGGTTCAGCCAAGGTCATACCACAATATGGGGGATGCAGAATTCACTTTCAATAAAAGCTGTAGTTAGTATCTATTTAGTATGATTTCTACCCCTTTCTTGCGTGACCCTAAACTGGATGCCATTGAGGTTTTGTGAATCGACAGCAGCCCGGGCCCGGTTCACCTACATCACTCTGGAAGTCAGGAAAGAGCCAGGTGATGGGCCTCTGAGTCTCAGAGCCAGCCAACGCAGCCTCCGGAGTATCCTCTTTTAGAAATACTCTCACTGGCTGCTGCGAGGGCTGAGGGAAGATTTCTTCTTGAGAGACAGTATGTTCCCCTGTACTGCCCATCCCCTTCCTTTCTGAAAAGAAATGTTTATGGAGTAAGCCTTTTTCTGACAATTATTCAAACTTTTCTGTAGATTAGTCTCAAAAACCCTGATGCTGTGCCCCAAAGTGAAAAACAAGGATCCATCAAATCCAACTGAGGAGTGAAAGGCATTCATGATCTACACACCCCACCCCACCCCACCCCACCCCCTGCCCAGCACCGCACACTTAATCTCTCACAATCCCTGTCCTGAATGCTTCACTCCAGGCAGGTCTGCCCCTCCTTCCTGTCATAGTTGGGTGGGCCATCCCACTTCCTCTGCATATGTCTCTCCGTATCCAGATTCCAACCGTCCTTAGGCCCAGCAGTGGTCTGCAAGGCTTCTTCTCAGACTCTAGTCCATGCTGAGCTGTTACTGCTGTAACTCCCAGTGCCTTGCTCCTTAAGAGAGTAACTTCACCTTTATCCGTTTTATCTGATGGGTTCTGAAGTAAGAGAGCCTTGAACACATTCTACAAAAAATTAAGCTTGAAAATCATTGCTCTGTTGCACTTATATTATCACAAAAGTAGCAACATAATAATGGGCTTCCTCTAATTTTTTGTCTTATTTCCCCAATCAGTATAAATGTTCTAGTGACAGGGATACATTTTATATATCTAAGGTAATTCAGGTATGCCTATGAGAATAATAAGAATAAAGTATTGCCTCCATAAATAAATACCTTTTGATGTATGTAAATAGTGTCTACAGAAGTGTGAACTGATAGTTAGACTTGGTGAAACTTTCCTGTCCAGAGAGCTATTTTCCATGCACAGTTAAAAAACGACTCTATCAAGAAATCATCTTCCTCTCAAGGATTTTGACAACGTTGGCAAGATATCTTTTGCAGACTTTGAAAAAGCAGTGAGAGAAGACAGACTTCTGTTGGAGGTGTTTGGACCATGTTTATCAGAGGCAAAGGTACAATTACCAATGCCAACAGCCCAGATTAGAGGGAAAATTTAAAGGGTCAGAAAGTAACATGGCTAGACACCTCTGTAGGGCTGCAGCCCACTGCTGAAGTTCAGGCCATCATAAATGGCTCAGCCCCATCCTAGCCTTTTGGACCCTAAGAAGACACTAGTGATGGTTTCAGTAACCATATTCAACAGACTTTTATTGAGCTTGTAACCTCTTTAGCCATACACAATTCCTGTTTCCTGTAAGTACGGTGACAGTATTTTCCCAAACCCAAACCAGGGTAGATTGGCTTACTTAAGTGATAAAACTGAATAAAGAGTGGATTCAAGGGCTGGCCCGTGGCTCACTTGGGAGAGTGTGGTGCTGATAACACCAAGGCCAAGGGTTCGGATCCCTATATAGCGATGGCTGGTTAGCTCACTTGGGAGAATGTGGTGGTGACAAAACCAAGTCAGGGTTAAGATCCCGTTACCGGTCATCTTTTTTAAAAAATAAAATAAAAAGAGTGGATTCAGCAAGTACCCACCATAAACAGCTACAATACTTGACCTCTTTGAGCCCAATTGTCACAAAATGGAAATAAAAGATTTAAAATAAAAGACGTGTAGTATAGTATTTTATTTGTGCTCGCTCATAAAGGCTTTTAATTTATAAATCTGACAAAAGACTTCTGAGCTTAAAAGGTCAGCCTAATAATTGATTTGGCTTATTAATATTTCCTTCCCTACTCTTTGTTAGATCAACTGTGCTTCTCAAACATATAATACAGGATGAAACTTTATTTTCTGAAGTAATTTTATCTTGTGATTTTGCAAATTAACTTGCATGTAGTTAAGCTGTCCTTAGCCATCTCAGCTCATCTAACTTGTCCCGCTGTAGTTTATTCCTTCAACCCACATGGAAATAGGTGGTAAAAGCAATGCATGAAAGGCAGACTTCCAATGTGAAGAGACTGATGGCTGGAAACAATATAGCACGATGAACGGTCTTGGAGTACCTACTTAGGATGGAACAGCCAAGGATTCTTCAGCTGCTCTCAGAGAGTTCATTTGTAGCCATTATCTAGAACCTTGGAAAAAGTGGTCTGCACACCAGCAGACCACCCCAAACCAACTGAATCAGAAGCTGTTTTGTTTTCTTCCCCAGTTTGACGTGACAAAGGTGTATTTCTCTCGTTGTGGTCAATTATTATATGTGTTGGTGGGGAGGGGGAGCAGTACAGGCCCCATACAGTCACAGAACAGATCAGGAACCCATTCAGGAACATAGAATCTCTCTAGCAGATCCTCCCTTAAGGCTGTCAGAGAATTTTTTTTAATTGTGGTAAAATGCACCTAATATAAAGTTTACCATCTTAACCATTTTTAAGAGTACAGTTCAGTAATGTTAAATACATTCACACTATCATGTAACCAGTCTCCAGAACTCTTTTCATCTGGCAGAACTGAAACTCTACACCCATTCAACAACCCCGCCTGCCCTGTCCCCACACCCCCTGGCCACCATTGTCTAAATCAGCATTTTAAGACAGATTCATTGCACCTTAAAGTCTGAGAAGGCTGATGTGGAGATTCATAGCACCTGAATGTCTTAAGAAGACTGGTCTAGAGCAATTTGCTTTTTCCAGTTCTATGCTTATATCTCTAATATATCTTTTACCTGAGATCAGCAAAAAGATACATCTAATTATCTCACAAGGAAGTAGGACCTAACCCCTGCCTGCAGCTTCTTTTAGTACCATCCACCACTTAGATTTATCCTAGCAACTTTGGATCAGTAGATCATGATGACTGAACACTGATTACAGTCAGAGTTCCTCTCATTTCTTTGATTTGAATATATTGTATCTTATTTTCTTTGTTTGGATGGCCGGAGAGGGAGGTGTATAGAATATATCCCCACCAGGTATGCACTGATTTTCAGGACAATACAAAGACCACTGAGGTAATGTAGTAGCATCAGCTAGTCTCTGCCTCGTATGGCTTTCAACAAGTCACTAAACCTTTCTACATCTTGGTTAAAATAGCAGGGATAGTATGGAGCACAAACGATTTTTAGGACAGTGAAACTAACTGTATAATACTATAATGGCAGATACATGTTATACATTTGCCCAGACCCATAGAATGTACACCACCAAGAGTGAACCCTAATGTAAGCAATGTCTTTGGCTGATGATAATGTGCTGCTGTAGGTTCATCAGTCATAACAAGTGTACCACTATGGTGCGGGATATGGATAGTGGCGGAAGCTGTACATGTGTCAGAGCAGGGGATTTAAAAGTTGCATAGAAGTGTTGTGATAAAATCAGAGTACTTTTATGAGTAAATGAGAAATCCAGATGCAAATTATCATATATGAGCTTGAGTGGGTGTGTGTGTGTATACACTAAAACATGAAACACTTTAGAATTGGCATCAAACACATAAACATTGATACATTAGACCATCTCGAAGAAATTTTGACGACTTTGAAAACTTGCTTTCATATTTTATGTAAGTTTCGTTCAGTGCTGAGGTGCTGTTCTATTTTTATTTAAAATATGGGATTATCTTCTGTTTTCCTGGGGAGTATATTACCAAATTGGCGATGTTTCTGTGATTGATGAGCAAGTTGGAAAGCCCTACTATGCTCAGATCAGGGGTTTTATCCTATCCAGGACCAGTATTGCGAGAAGAGCACAGCACTGACATGGCTCATTCCCACTCCCTCTAGCCCCAGAGACCAATTTAATCCTGTGTCCTATATCATAGGTGAGTTTAGCAAATGAACTTAGTGTTCTGGTATTATGTAGAAGTATGTATTAGTCTGCTTGGGTTACCATGACACAGTTTCACAGACTGGGTGGCTTCAACAGCAGAAATTTATTTTCTCACAATTCTGGAGGCTGGTAAGTCTAAAATCAAGGTGCCAGTAGATTCAGTTCCTGGTGAGGGTTGTCTTCCTGGCTTGCAGATGGCTGCCTTCTCTCTGGGTCCTCACATGGCAGAGAGTGTTCTCTATCTCTGTTCCTTTTCTTATAAAACCACTAACCCCATCTTGAGTGTCCCACCCTCATGACCTCATCTGACACTAATTACTTCCCAAAGGCCCCATCTCCAAATACCATCAACCTTGGGGGTTAGGACTTTAACATATGAATATGGAGAGTGAGGACACAATTCAGTCCATAGCAAAAAAAAGCACAAGCATTATTAAGTACAAAAAAATGTGAGCACTTTATAGAAAATATTAGAGACATTTTATATAGCTGGGGTTTGAGTGCTGTCAGTTATTTTGAGTTTGAAAAATGTGTCCTTAAAAGTGATGTGCATAAGATTTTTCTGAGTGACTCAGGGTTAAACCATACTAAAAGAATTTATTACTCAGGAAGTAGGTTATTGAGGTTACTCATAAAAATCTATTCATAAATAATTTCTAAAAGAACTATCCCACTTATTTCTAAAATCTTACAAATTCTCAATATTCATCTCTACCTGCAACACACATCATCATAGACCCCTAGCACATCGTTGTGATGGTTGAAATGGCAGCCTCTGTACTTTTATGAATTTCAAGGCACCAAAAGTTGTGGTACAAACAGTTCTTGATGTAGACTCACAAGAAGTTACAGATTAGTACAATTTTGAAAGTGTTCAGAATTTTTAAGTTAATCTGAACTTTTCAATCTTTCTGTAATGAGAATGCATTACTTTTGCATCCTGAGAAAAAAAAACATAGAAATGTTTTTTTCAGAAAGAATTCAAGGGACAAATAATAAACCACTGTTATTCTCACCTACATGTCATGTTTCCCACATGACCAAACATTTCTAGTCTTCTGCTTTTAAGTATATAGAAGAGTGGATGTTCATTTACCTTGTCTATGGACCAGGGTCCCAGCAGAGGCAGTGATGTGTCAGAATCACCTCCAGGGTTCCTCTCCCACCTCCTCTTCCTGATCCCCAGATTCGGGTGTGCAGCCGTGTGCTGGAGGAGGCAGCGCAGTGTGGGGGTCAGAGCACTAACTCTGGAGCCAGATTTCGGGGTTCACAGCCCTGCCACTTACCAGCTGTGTGATTTTGGCAAGTTCCTTAATCTCTCTTGCCTCACTTTCCTCACATAAAATGGAATAATAATAGTACCTACCTCAGAGACATATTGTGAGGACTCAAAGTAGAGTACTTAGAACAGTGTGGGCACGTAATAAACTCTAATTAATGTCAGAGTAATGCATGTTTTGAGGTGGTTCCTCCTAGAGTCTAGAAATTTTAACATTTTGTGAAACTGACATGTATGTTCAAAAATGTAGGGCCAGCCCGCTTGGGAGTGTGGCGGCGCTCCCGTTGAGGGTTCAGATCCCACATACAGACCAGCCGCTCACTGGCTGAGCGAGGTGCGGGCGCAACACCAAGGGTTGCGATCCCGTTGCCGGTCCCGGTCTGGTACGGGCGCGACACTGAGGGTTGCGATCCGTTGCTGGTCACGAAAAAAGACAAAAAGGAAAAAAAAAAAGGGAAAAAAAAATGTATTTAACCTTTCCATTGGCTACCTTCTAGGGCCAGAGGAAGACCTTCCAAGGAAGATGGAATACTTGGAATTTGTCTGTCATGCACCTTCTGAGTATTTCAAGTCGCGGTCATCACCATTTCCCACAGTTCCCACCAGACCAGAGAAGGGCTACATATGGACTCATGTTGGACCCACTCCTGCAATAACTATTAAGGAAACAGTTGCCAACCATTTGTAGTTGAAAATTAAAACTGGATTTCCAGTTATCTGGTACTCATACTACTATAAGATATGCCACGTATTTCTTTAATGAAATTCTTAGATGGAAAAATGACTAAAAAGGTTTTTCCCTACTACCCAGTAATAATCATTAACTCATTAATTATTAGTCACTTAGAAAATTAAAAAGGATAGAAAAGAATGAAATATATTTTGAAGTTAAATGTTATATTCTGTATGTGTATCTTCCCAGGCAGAGGTTGTAATTTCCAGGGAGCCCATTAGAACAGGTGGCGTCTATTTTTCTACCTAATTTATTCCTAGAATCTCATAAAA